AGGTCCTAAGCTCCCGGGCATATAGGCTAATAGGTCTTTAAATGCTTTATGTATTTCTTGTGTGTGTGTGTGTGCGCATGATATTGAGGGGCGGTGATGGGTGTCACAGTGTGCATGTGACATAAACAAGGTAACTTTACGGAGTCGGTCCTCTTCTCCCACCTTTCCAGGGGTCAACTCAGGTTGCCAGGCTGCACGGCGAGTACCTTTACCTGCTGAGCCATTGTGGATGTGACTAATGGGTCCTAAGTATTCTACATGTGACCCCGTTGAGTGTCAGAATTTTAAAGCCCTTCTTATGGTTTTAAAAAGTTTAAGAGAGCCAGGCGGTGGTGGCACACACCTTTAATCCCAGCACTTGGGAGGCAGAGGCAGGTGGATCTCTGTGAGTTTGAGGCCAGCCTGGTCTACAAGAGCTAGTTCCAGGACAGGCACCAAAGCTACAGAGAAACCTTGTCTCAAAACAAACAAACAAATAAAAAGTTTAAGAGATAGAGGGCATGAGAAATATTCAAAAGAGGGCTGGAGAGGTGGCTCAGTGGTTAAAAGCATTGCCTGCTCTTCCAAAGGTCCTGAGTTCAATTCCCAGCAACCGCATGGTGGCTCACAACCATCTGTAATGGGGTCTGGTGCCCTCTTCTGGCCTGCAGGCATGTACACAGACAGAATATTGTATACATAATAAATAAATATTTAAAAAAAAGAAATATTCAAAAGAAATTGAAGCTGCCTATGGTGGCATACACCTTTAATTTCAGTACTTGGGAGGCAGAGACAGGCAGAACAGATCTACATAGTGAGTTCCAGGCCAGCCAGTGTTACTTAGTTAGACCCTATCTCAAAATACAACAACAAAAAGAAATTCCTTTGTAATCTGCGCGGAACACACCGTTCTTTTGTACCTTCAACTTCCCAGCACTGTCTGTATAGTGTCTGCCTTTTCTACGGTTGATGTAATCAACACTGCTGTTTGCAGTAGACCAGAGGGGTGTGGCGCTCCTGTGCCTGCACTATGCCATTTTAGATGTGGGTCTTGAGTACCTGAGGGAGGTCCTAGAACCAACTTCCCGGACACTGATGAAGGACTAAATGAGTCTTATCAGCTGATGCTGTACTTCCAGAGGACCTGGTTCAATGCCCAGTACCCGGTTCCAGAGGATTGAACACTCACGCTCACACAGATATACATGCAGGCAAACCCCTGTCACACACACACACACACACACACACACACACAGAGAGAGAGAGAGAGAGAGAGAGAGAGAGAGAGAGAGAGAGAGAGAGAGAGAGAATTCAAAGCCAACCCCAGTTATATAGTCAGTTTGAGGCCAGCCTGAGCTACATGAGACCCTGACTCAACCCCTCCCCTATCATGTTGCTAACATGTGTATGCCCTTTCTTAAGAGTTTTACACTCTCTTGACACACGCTTCCTCTTTCCTTGATGCTGTGAATAACGCAGAGACACTATTCACCTCCAGTGAGGGCTGTATGATTCTGATCTGCTGTGTTTCTTGCCCTCTCCTGGGGAAAGGGCGCCCTGCCCTTCATTTCTTCCCGTCGTAGTGTTTGACCTCAAAGGGGCCACACACACCCATCCCTGTCCTTGCGGCATCCCCAGTTAAAATGGTTTAGTTGTTTCATTTCTTTGAGCTAATGAGTCTCCATTCTATTACTTCCCTCCCCCCACCCGTCTTCAGAGTCTAGTCACTTCTGTTTGGTTCCTTTGGCTTCTCCCCAGGTCTCTATGAGGCTCCGGGTGCATGATTGTCTCTGGCTGCACTTCCCCTGGTGCCCTCCTCATAGTCATCAGTGCAGAGCACTGAACCAGGGCATGTCTTCTATATGCTTTGGCAGTCAGAGTCACAAGCTACGTAAAACCACGCAGCTCAGAACCTAGACAACAATGAGGACCCTCAGAGAGACATACATGGATCTAATCTGCATGGGAAGTAGAAAAAGACAAGATCTCCTGAATAAATTGGGAGCATGGGGACCTTGGGAGAGGGCTGAAGGGGACGGGAGAGGCAGGGAGGGGAGCAGAGAAAAATGTAGAGCTCAATAAAAATGAATAAAAAAAGTTAGATTATGATTAAATGATAAAAATGGGGGGCTCTTGGTGCTAGAGAAAAGAAAGTTGTTCTTCCATTAAAGACACAAGCACTACTGTGAAAAGCAGCAAAACTATAGAGATGTGGACCTGCCAGTATCAACCTGATTGTCACTCATGGAAAATAGATTCTTTCAGCTCTCACCCCAGCTGGACCCAGATGACACACAAAATAGGATGTTTGGGGGTTTTCTAATGGGACGCCAAATGCCATGGATGTGGAGATGGCTGGGGTCTTGTCTTGGGGGAACAAGAGAAGGAGGAGTTTGGAGAAGGATGCTGCTGGAGAGGGAGCCTCTGTGAGCAGAAGCACAAACGGGGGATTCAGAGCAGATTTCAAAATGGAAGCAGACTTGCGAGGAGGGCCTGGCGAGTGGGAGCCTTGGAAGCGAGAGCCTGTGTTTTAGCTCAGACCCATATGTACACAGCTCACCACTCTTTGTATGTAATATGTAAAGGTGTAGGGGTGTCTGTAAAGGAGGGGCAGGGGACAGCCGTTGGGAATATGCTTAGCTTGGGGGCTGAGGACGGACAGCGGCAGCAGGAAAACCCACTTGCGATGGAGGATTTTACTTCATTTTTATCTCAGGTACGGGTGAGGAGTTCATTCTTGTGTGACAGATGAGAAAACAGGCTTAGGTGATTGTCCTACCCAGAATCCCTAGGCCTTGTTAGCTCTGACTGAGATCTTTCTGGCTCCAGTGACCCTAGCCTTTTACTTCTCAACTGGAAGACTCTGATGACGCTGGCTTAGGACCTGTCTGCAGTCCAGGGACATGGTTTGTGTTTGGTAGTTTCTGGGTGCACTCAGGCACATGATCTGGTTTAAACCGCGTTAGTCCATCCCAGCCTCTGAAACAGACGTTACAGACTGGCTGCTCAGGCGTCAGACCTTTGGTTCTCACAGTTCCGGATACTGGGACGCCCAAGTCAAGGAGTCGGCACCATGGAGCGCTGTATCACCACCTGCCCTATCTATGAGGCACTAATCCCAGTGTTGGCACGCTGCCCAGAGGTCATTCCACAGGATCCCTCGGCTTGGCATTGCACGCTGCCCAGAGGCCATTCCTCAGGATCCCTCGACCCGGCATTCATGCAAACATTAGACTCCACAAAGGAACTGCAGCCGTGTTTCTTCCTTCTGCCTGTGCTCATGTGGGCAAACCTTTTATCTACTTTACCCTTCAGGGAAGGGCGGATGCTGGCAGGGATGTCCCCACAGTGGCCGTGACCCCGGGTCTAACTTCTTTCCCAGCCGCCCCTCCGTCCTGTCCCCTGCCTTGCTCTGTTGTCTTGTTTGAGCACTTGTATTTGACGACAGTGCCTCTGTCTTCACAGCACGCACACCCCTCCCACCTCCCCCGACAAGCTGCATAGGGGACTTTATGAGGGTCCCTTAGTCAGTGTTGAGATATGAGGTCATTCACAAGGACACGTGATGACAGTTGGAGCCTGCGCCTGGGCCCAGTGATTGAAACCCGGTCACTTCCCCCCATCTGAGGCACTGTGGCCATCTCACCCAAAGGACCAAGGCGAGGTAACCCATGAAGAGCGGAGAAAGGTCACCCCTTTATCTCATCTCTGACCTTGTCCTTTTTATGTGAAGGTTTTTTAATAGCCCAATTCTTGGGAGTAACTTTCTCCCTTGATTAAGAATTCTAATTTTAAAGCAAGTTCTGGCCTCTTTCTTTCCAGACTCATTCTGTTGTTTTGATTGGATTTCATGGCTAGGAATTAAGATCCTTATTTTGTCTGTTGTTTTCTCCATGGTTGGTTATCGGGGCAGAGTGGTGCTCTACCGAGGTCATAAACATGCTTGTCCCGTTAGAATATCCATAAAGGCAGCGGGTTTTAGTGAGAGGCTAAGCCGTATGCAAGGCCCCCGTGAGCCCCCTTTTCTCAAATGCCATAGTCTCTTGAACTTTTCTTCATAGAGAATCCTGAGGGAAATCAGGATGTCTCTATGAGAGCCTGGAGAGGTAGAATTTGACAAGGTCAGTTCCCTGGACAGAGGCTCACGGACACCCAGGAAAGTGCGCTTTCTTTTGGGTGTCACGCCTCGTGGGTGCCCACAATCGTCACACGGTTACAGGGAAGGAAACAGTCCTCGCTGTGACTCGGTGACAGCACTGAGAAGCCCCATCCCTGTGCCGCCCGCAGGGAACACCTGGGTGGCCGGCGGGAAACCTGAGCTGTGCACAGCATCAGCAGAACAGAAGGTTGGACCAAAATCCAATAACAAACAGAATCCCGAAAAGAAAAGCTAAATGATACCCTGTTACTTAACATGCCTGAGATCGTTTGAAACAATAATCTGGATGTTGCCCCTGGCCAGAAGCAGGGAGTGACAGAGTGACTGAAGGCGAAGAAAAGATAAATGCCAGATTCGAAAGCAGGGTTAGTTCTCGGGAGCCACGGAGAGATCTGGGAGGCGGTCCCGGGAGCAGCAATAGTGCTTTGGCAGATATGCAGATCTTAATATACCATAGTTTTCATACTTTTCAAAACTGTTTATGAAAAGAGGCAGAGCCTTTTCCACCTCCACCTGGCTATGACTTTATCTTCAGGAGTCCGTGGGTTTGGCATTTCTTTGTCTCCTGCCCATGGTCCTGTCATTTGTCACAGTCTTTGACCGCCTCATAGTATCACCACTATGGGGAAACTGGAGGACGAGAAGCCCCACCTTCTGCCACTTAAGTGTAGGGCGTAAAAATTGGTCAAAGTTAACAAAGGCAACTTGAATTCCTAATAAATTCATTGAGAGTCTCCTTCTAGAGCAGAAGGCCAGCTGGGGTTAGAGGTGGAGGGGCAGAGGTGTTCTGAAAAGCTGGTGTGTCCTCTTACCTTAGTGTATCTGGTTCTGAAACCAACTGTTTCCTTTGCATTGACAGCATGGCCGGACCCCCTTGCACCTTGCTGCCAATAAGGGCCATCTCTCTGTGGTCCAGATTCTGCTGAAGGCTGGCTGTGACCTCGACGTGCAGGATGATGTAAGTAGAAGCATCAATTCCCTCCAGAGAAGGGTTGGCAGAGGGGCTTGTCTGCAGCAGCGGCCCTCAGTGCAGATGCTGGCGGTGTGAGCAGGGCGGGTGCTAGATGCTTGCCAGAAGTTTTGTTTGTGTGTCTTTTGTCTCTAGCTTGGTCCCCGTTCTTGGGACTGCCTTCTGGGAGACCCATTCTCAGCAGTAAAGGAGCTCGCAGGAGGCTCTTCGGTTGTGGTTCTTATTGCCCCGTTAGCATCTGAGTGCAGAGTCTGAGGGCATTGGCCTAGGTCCTGTTTTAGTACAGAGGAGTCACTCTGGCATTGAGTGTGGGAAAGACCCATTAGGTGTATGCATCATCAACCAAATTTACTGCTGAAGAGAAGTGAGGCTTAACACCCACCCTCCTCCTTTATCTTAACTTCTCTTAGTGAACTTCAAGTGGAGCTTGAAGCTCCATCCCAGCTAAAAGGGGGGAAAGGACTTACGCAAGATCAAGGCCTCTTGAAAGAACTCGATAGTGTTTCTTTTCTCTTACTGAGTGAGTCCGACTCCGTCACTCACTGAGATGTCCATCCAGGTTGTTGGGGGAGGAATCCCACCGGCTCCTTCCGAATCGACTATCCAGTCTGAGTCTGTGAGCTTTGGCCGGGTAGAACTGCACAGCACAGAGCTTGCTCTTTTGGGTCCTTGGAGAAGGTGGCATCTCCAAGGAGTGATGGAGTAAACTGCCCTCCAGTGAGTTTTCAGGAAGAAACCCTATGGAAATGTGCTTGGGAATGATTTTCAGAAACTGTTAACTCCTTTTTTTTTCCTTTTTTAAAAATTATTTTATTTGGAGTATTTTGCTTGCATGTGTATCTGTGCATGCTTGGTTCCTGCACGGACTAGAATAGGGCATCCATCCAGAACTGGAGTTATAGATGGTTGTGAACTACCGTGTGGGTGCTGGGAATCAAATTCAGGTCCTTTGAAAAGAGCAGCAATTATCCTTAACCATTGAGCCAACTCTCCAGTGCCCCCCCCCACCCGCCATCTCTCAATGATACAGCAGAATTCTAAGACATAAAAGTCCTGTGTGTAAGCAGCATCTCACAGTCTGGCCTTGTCATAACTTCTTCCAATAGCATTACCTAGAATATTCCTTGCAACTCCACACAGTATCCTAAAATGTGACAAACACATTCACAAATGACATGGCTATATAGCAAGTTTGAGGCTAGCCTTAGATACCTGAAACCTGTCTGTATAGGCTAGCCTTGGATAAATGAGACCTGTCTATATAGGCAGGCAGACGGGCAGGCACATGAACTGGTTTTATGCATGGCCAGAGGGTTATCAGCATCTCATATAAATCTCTGGTTTTATCTGAAGCCTATGGGATCACCAAGAATGTTATTCTCAAAAATGCTGATTTAGCTCTAAGCTGTTGATTCTCACCTTGGTCATGACACTTTATTTTTCTACACTATAACCAATATAACATTCCTGACCCATATCATCTTCTTAGAGGACAGGAGGACAATAAAGGGAGATGGGCAAAATAAATAATCAAAGGGAAGGTGGGATCTCGAGTTGCTGGCACAAGCATGTTGGGATAATCTAGCCTTCTCTTTGATTGTTAAAGTCCTTGCTTGCCATCGCGGTAAGGTCACAAAGTCAGGCCTGCCAACCCATCCCAACCAAACACCTTCATTCAGCAAACACCTGCATTCAGGTCTGAGGCTCGCTGTGGTCTCATACAGTAGACACTATGCTGAGGTTTCAGATATGGAAGGAAGCAGAGAAGACAAGCATTCTCACAGCGCACGAAGTAAAGCCAGCCCTGTGTTTAGGTAAAACACCTCCCTCATTTGAGGCATTGGGTCTTTTCCCTCATTTCCTGCTCTACCCAGACAACGCATACCTTGCTTTTTCATGTAACAACAGATAGGAAGAATACTGGAGAAGGCAGGACTGTTGCGATCCTCAGCTCTTACCTGTGTGCGTCCCACGCCTGTTGAAACCCACGCCTGTTGAAAATCGTCTTTGAGCTGTCCACAAAAGCGTATGAAATCACTTTATTAGCATTAAAGAAGAGGGGAACTTAACTGTGGGAGAGTCGCGTTAGCAGTTCCCTATCTGGGAGATGGGTAGAAACAGAATGTTGACGTTACGAAGATTCAATTCTAACTTCATATTCTGCAGATACTGTTGTTTATGGCATGGGACTATCTGAGAATTAGAGGAAGAATGACCTCCAGTGGCCTGGAGTGGGATTATTATGAGTTTCAACCCGCAGCTCCCGGAGCCGTATCTGTCTTGCTTCCTGCTAATCCTATCAACGCTCAGTGGAGCGCAAATGCCATCTCTGATTGGTCAATGAGTAATCACGTGACTCCTACCCCAGAAATAGACCAGGACCCTGTGACCACAGTAAAAAGCATGAAGGAAGACAAAACTAAGAGAAAGCAGAGAAGAAAGGCTAGGAAGGACCCTAGAAGATCTGAGAGAGAAGAGGTCAGCACCCTGCTTTGCGTGCCTACCTGGCGTAGGGCTTGCTTACAGCATGTTTGCTTGCGTCGCTGGGGTCTTCCTCCCAAAGTGGGTGTGTCCCGCCCGTGCGCGCGGCTGGGACTTCTTCCACGAGCTTGGCTTTGGAACACCCAATGCTTTTCACTACATAGGAGATGGAAATACAAGTATTTCAAAGATTTAGACCTTAAGTTCCAGCGTTCTTGCATGAGAAACACTGAAGCCTCAGGAATACCCAGTACTGGCGGTCCATATTGTTTGCAGACAAGTCAGCATGTCAGATCCGAATGCCAATTTCGGTGTTGCTGCCGCGTCTAGTTTCTTCCTTTGCTTCTTCTCAGTTACCCATTCAACAGACACCTCCATGCTGTGCTCTTAAACTTGCGTAGTAAGGCAGCCCCCACCTCGCCGAGACACCGGCTCCTTTTGGAGACCAAAGCTGGAAGCGGCTTGCTGTGAAGGAAAGGTGCCTTGACAGTTTGAATTAGCTAGCTATCCTAGGCGAGGCTTATCAGTATAGCAAGAGAATTGCATGGCCTGACTCCTGGCACGTAGTTAGGGGTCAGTAAATACAGAGTGAATATTGAGAAAACATGTTGAGAGAGCTAGGTTTTCTTCTGTATTTTCTTTCAGTTTCGGAATCTTCTGGTCGTTTCAGATCATAGTCAAGCAGGATTATGTCAGTTTTGCTGCGTGGGTCTGCTAATAGTTCAAGCTTATCATGTGCATTATGTTTTGAAGAGGACATGTGGCTAGTAATATTATTTGTAATATAATAATAATATATACTATGATAGTAGCTTTAATTTTGTAGGAGCCAAAAATTGATTCTCAAGTAACTGAGCGTGCTTCAACCGAGGGTCTGGATTTAACTGTGCTGTGTGTTCTAGAGAGAAAGTCGTTCCCCGGATGGCTGGAGGCAGCTCTTTGTCCCTGCGTTTTGTCTTTCTCAGAACCTGTCATGCGCATCTTGGTCACCTAAGATGGCTGACTAACTCATAAGAGTTGAAGGACGCGTCCTCTGGAACCGGTCTAGCCACTGTTTGTCCTGCCATGGAGAGCAGGGCCAGGTGCCATGGCACAGCAGTAATAGATACGGGAAGCAAGGAGCCGAGCTCCCAGGGGGAAGAATAAAGCTGGAAGGGGACTTGCCTACAGACAGGGCTGCAACTGAACGGGCCAGCCAGCTTGGGGTAGCTTGGCTTTTCACTACAGCTGAACACAAGTGTCAGATCTCCTTGAATCTTGACAATCCACTTGAAAATGTTCTGCCAAGAGCCGATCCAGGAGTTAGGTGCAGCTGCTTGTATCAAGTTAGAGTCTTGCAAAGAAGAGTTGTCTCAAAGGCAGCAAATATGCTCTGTGGCCGATCAAAGACATGCTAATCAAAGCTCCACCAATCAAAGACATGCTAATCAAAACTCCAGCCCAAAGCTGCATCAGCTCTTGATTTCGTAAGCAGCTTGTGGAACAAGGTGAAATGTTTGGCCTGAACCAAGCCCTTCGTGTGGTCATTTGACAAGACCTATCTGCTTAGGGCATGTTGCTTGCACTTCATACAGAATGCAAGTCTCTTCTAAAAAGGTTGCTCTGAATGATCCAAGGAATGGCCGGCAGGACACCTGTCGTTTGTGGGATGGCTAAAGGGCCTCTCCTATTGGAAACTTGACTCAGGACTGAACTCATAGTTCTTGTTAAGATTAATCTTTCTCATAATCATTTCGGGAAAACCCGTGACTGATCTGATAGGGAAATAAGCTGTCTTAGAGACACTAATAGAATCGTTTGGAGCTGAGACTCAGGCATGGTCCCATCTGACTTATTTGGGAATTGAGCGCTCGTCCACCTGGAAAGGCCTTCTCAGACTCCTGGCCCAACCCATCTCCTGCAGCCACTTACCGGGAGAGCGGACGGGAAGAAAAACAGTCCAAATCTAGCTTGTGATGTGATAATAACTCACAAGGTCAAGGAGAGAGTCGTTGACAGCCATACCAGTCACACTGCAGTCAGGGGAGTGGGCTGGACGTCCTCACCCCAGCTCTGTGCAAGTCTCTTAGATCATCAAGTCAACTGTGGGAAAAGCTTGCCGAATGGGAAGCCTTTTCCTGCTGTCTTTTTATGCTTTAAGCTTGTGATTGGTAGTTTTGTCTGAGAGATGAAGTTATATGTGTTTAATATTTAAAATGTTGCCAAGTACTTTGACCGATTCTGAGTCTGTGTGGTCACCAATGGCCGTCACCAGCACTATTCTATAGGCAAAAACAGTGTTATTAGAAGGCAATTTGAGAGACATGTCTGTGCAAACAACAGATATAGTTTTCCCACTGAGGGCCTATGACCTCCCTAACTGCAGGTTCCTGGCAGTTTATGCTACAGGCTGGGAATGCCCTCCTATGGAAAATCTAGTCAGCAAGCAAGTGGCTACCTCCCCGCCCCCCTTAGTTAGTTTTCCATTGCTGCAGTAACACACCACAACCAAGGCCACTCACAAAGAAAGTGTTTGATTAGGCTTATGGTTTCAGAGGGTTAGAGGCCATGATGGGATGGTGGCAGGAACAGCCAAGAGGTTACATCTTGATCCTCACTGGAACACACTAGGAATAGTTCAAGTGTTCTGAAACCTTCAGAGCCATCCCCAGTGATACACCTCATCGGATAAGGTCACACAACTGTTCCCAAACAGTTCTACCAATTGAGGACCAAGTCTGCAAACATATGAACCTATGGGGGAGGCATCTCATTTAAACCACTGCACCCCCCACACCACACCTGGCACTGTCACCCGTGGGCTCATCTTGCCTTGTTGGGTGGTGTTCTTACATGCCGGATCTACATGCTGAGTAGGGTTATCGATGACAGGTCTCCACTAGCAGCTTGAGAGTATCCAAAATAAAAGAAGAAAGTAAACATCACTTCTTGTGATTTAAAACTTTCTAAAAAGTTTGTTATATGCATGAGTATTTTGCCTACATGCAAATATAAGCTCCCCATGCATGCCTGGTGCCCATGGAGGCCAGAAGACATCAGATCCTTTGGAACTGGAGGTACAGATAATTGTGAGCCACCATGTGAGTTCTGGGAACTGAACCTGGGTTCCTGAGCCATCTCTCCAGCCCCCTCCTCTTGATAAAGAGAGAGGTGTTTCGTTTTGTTTTTAAATTTTAAGAAAAGCAGGTGGTTTTTTTGTATGGGGGTGTGTGTTTGTTTGTTAGAGGTTATTTTGTTTTGTTTTGGAAATAACCTAGTCTGGCTTTAACCTCTTGTTTCACCTGCCTTTACCCTCTGAGTCTTAGAATTACAGGTGTGTGCCAGTGTACTCAGCCACATGTGTGTTTTGGCTAGGGCTGCGTGGGTTTTCTACTGTGAAAACACACGCGCATGTGCACACACACTCTCAGCAACATGAAATGCATCCTCTGAGCCATCTTTCAGTCTAGTTCCTGAGTTAATCCCTGCACACCAGTCACTGCAGTCTGTTTCCAGAACTTTCCTCTCGGATTGCATGTCCTTCATGTGTCTCTTTGAGGCGAATCCCAGTGAGGTCAGTGTGTTTCATTCGAACCACCCCAGTTAGTGGTGCACCCTCCTGAAGTTGCTCTTTGTGGGTATCTTCCACAGTCTCCCCAGTTTCTCCTGATCTGAGGTCCAGGGGAGTTCTGGAGTGTGTCCCTTGCCCCTCTGTGTCTATCTGGAAATTTTGCTAATGGGAATCTTACCAGCCGAATCATAGAATCCCAAAGGAGAGAAAACCCTGGCCCTACCTTTTCCTGTGAGGGTCCTGAGGCTCAGCAAGCTGATGGATCTATACCAGAGCTGTACATAAACCCGTTCTCCTGGTCCCCTGGCCCTCCGCTCATCATTTCCACCTGAAAACATCCACATTGTCCACCCATCTCCCCTCTCATGCCTGGCCCTCAGGCTTGATTTGATTTGACTCCTGAGAACATGTGGGAGATGAATTGTGCTCCTAGAAGGCAGAGCTCAGAGCCTTTCCAGTAGTGCTTCCCCCCTTCTCACCTCTGGGGTGTTTACGCAGCCTCCCTGCCACAGTTAGGGGAAGCGTCAAGTTCTCTTTTGGTGCCTGAAGGAGAAACCTGTCCATCCCAGGAATCTGGTTGCCGAGAAGGGTTAGAATATGGCATACATCATCAAGAGGCCTCTCAGAAGTATGCGGCAAGAGGCCTCCCACCCCCTCATCGCTCTCGGCTAGTGCAAATCAGTGAACAAATTACACACCTGTCATCAAAGCATGAGGCCCCGAAACTGCCACAGCTGGAGAGTGATTCCTCTGTAATCTGGGCCCGAGGACCTAGTGGGGCATGGGATTGTAGGAGTTGCTGGCTGAAGTGTGTGACATCCACAGCCTGGCTCCCAGGCACGACTCCATTAGGTCATTGGAAGGAGCCTGACTCTCCTTGGCAGGTAGATCTGAGGCCGGCAGCCATCTTTGCTGTTGACAGAAGATTCCTTCTGGTTTATGAACCAAACTGCTCTGCCCACGTGCATTCTCTACTAATGGGACCCCAAAGCTTGCCTTGCCTGTGGTGACCAAGCCCTTTTGCAAATAACCAGTCTCCTCCTTGAGGGGACAGGAGACAGCCTGGTGTCTGGCTTAAGGAAGGAGCGATATGGTGGCCGATAAAGAAACCTGTTATTCTTCTCTCTGTGTTACTTTGCAGGGGGACCAGACAGCCTTGCACCGGGCCACTGTGGTGGGAAACGTTGAGATCATCACAGCGCTTATCCGTGAGGGATGTGCCCTGGACAGACAGGACAAGGTGAGGAGGGTGGTAAGGGCTGCAGGACCCTGGGGAGCTAAGGAGCCAGCTTGATTCACCGCGGTGTGTTCACGATGTTGTCCTGTTCCCATCATGCAATGAGAGAGGTCAACCTAGGTTTCTCTGAAAGTTCAGGGTTCCAGAAGTCGTGTTTGTTTATATATCCTTCCCTCTGTTGTGTGGCTCTGTGCTGACAACTTAGTCCAGGTCAGTGTAGAAGTCAGGACCTATGAAGGTCTACTGAAGGTGGGGGAAAGGCTCCCTCAGAAGCTCTGTTTCTTAGATGCACAAGCAAGTTAAATGTTTTAGCTCTGAAGAAAAAGAGTGATCCGAAGAATTTCTTTCTTCCAAGAATCCCAGCACGTATGCCAGTGTTTTTAAATTGCCAAATCTTAAAATGTGGGATTTTTGTATTTAAGTGCAGTATCGTCGTCCCCCCAACACACACACACACACACACACACACACACACACACACACACACACAGCTTTTCTTTAGAGTGCCATGTGTGCGCAGACAGTAAATGCGGCACGAGGTTCCATCACACATCCATGGGCTCTGGGTCAGGAGTGATGCCTCTGCACCCAGAGCCCTTCCCGGTCTTCCTCTCGCTTGCTGCTGCTGCTGCTGCTGCTCCTGTAATGGTCCCAGCCGGGCCTTGTGGCCTCTGCCCTGCCCAGCCTTGTCTCTGGAACCCTGGCTCTCCTCTCGTGGGTGCCAGGTGCATTGGGCTTAGCTCTTCAGGGCACATCTCTAGATGGACGTAACTGGAGAATGTGGTCCTGCCTGAGCATGCCTACACGTGAGTTCCTACCTGCCCGTCATTCATCCCCTCTATCATAAGCAAATGGGAGCCATTTAATTAGTTTGTATTTAAAAGCCATGTATCTAGAAATCTTGTTTAGCTTTTTACAATTATTGTTTCTTCGATTTTTTTTGTCATTTAGAATCCTGGGGGTTTTATACTAACTAGAGACTACCAAATTTTGTTTGTTTTGTTTTGTTTGTCCGAAACAGGGTGTCTGTGTAGTGCTGGCTGTCCTGGAACTCACTCTGTAGACCAGGCTGGCCTTGAACTCACAGAGATCAGTGCGCCTCTGCCTCCCAAGTGCTGGGATTGAAGGCGTGTGCCCCAACCACCCAGTTACTTTATTTTATTTTATTTTGGTTTTTAGCACTCAAATCTTTTTGTCTGCTCCATGGTTCTAATGGGCCCCGCTGAGGAAGACCCTGTAGCCATCGTAATATGTTGTTTTAGCAAGAAGAGCCAGACCGTGGGTAATGTCCTGTCTTCCAATGTGTTTACTCAGGATGGGAACACAGCCCTCCACGAAGCCGCCTGGCATGGGTTCAGCCAGTCAGCCAAGCTGCTTGTTAAAGCAGGAGCCAACGTGCTTGCCAGGAACAAGGTGAGGCCCAGCAGCTGACCTCCTCCTTCACAGGTGAGGAGGGTCGTGGGAGTCTTTGTCCTGGGTTGTCTCCTGCCCATGAGAAGCGCCAGGCAGTGCTCACCGGGGCATGGAGAACCCTGCAGTGCAGGTTCACCTAGGAGGCTCACTGCACAGGTAGGAGGGCTGTGCCCCAGGCAGGGTAAGCATGCCACAGTGCTGAAACCTCCGCTGGTGTGAGAGACCCCCTGGCCACTGCTGGGAACCTGTCCTCACTATTTGGCCCTGTTACAAAGAGTAGCAATAGAGAGTTGGCATGGAAAATGTCGGCAGAGAACCAAAACGCTGGCAGTCAGTAGGGGCACAGTAGCGTAAGTGGGCTGAGGAAATGGGATCGGAGCAGCTGCTTTGGGGAGGCCAGCTGTACCATGAAAGTGGTTCTGTAGGATAGCGTGTCAGCTCAGGGGTAGAACACTCAGCTCCCGTTCACAAGGTTCCCAGGTCAATCCCTGGCATCACCTAAAAGGAAAAGAAGTTCTTACCTATTTGTAGGGTGGCTACCATCCCAGGTTTCGGTTGGTGAAGCAGCGAAATACACTAGGAAAGTTTTGTCCTTATGTATACCTGTGATAGCAATAAGAAAAGCGGTAGAACATGCAGGAGAGGAACGTAACGTTATTCACTCAGCGCAAACAGGTATAATTTAAGTCACAGTTTCGATGATAACGTTATGAGCCATGAAGGAGCATGACAGAGGAGTACGTGATCACACATACATGCTTCCATGCTAATGTCAGTTCACCCTTTGTAAAAACCGAGCCTGGAAAGATAGCACCAACATATTAACAGTGGCTGTCTACTTGAATTTAGACTTACCCATTTTTGGTGTCGTTTTTTGCTTTTGTCCCTTTCTCAAGCTTTCTAAACTGAACTGGTTATCTCTTCAATCACTAGGAGAAAAGACATGTGTTATTTTAAAAGCAAAAGAGGCACTGTCAGTACTCTGAGAATATCCGCAGTAGTGTTGAGAAGGGGTTGCCTTTTCTTTCCTTGGATGGCCAGAATGGGTCTGTGGCCAGTGCGTAAGAAGCCTGGGGATTTCCCACAATGCACTTGTATGATTGATGACCCTGGCTGATGGCCTCACATAGAGAAGTGGAGGAGTATTGAGTCTGTGCCTGGGGAGGAGCAGCCTGAGAACCATGCTCAGCATTACACAGATATGTGCGCGCGTGCACGCATACACACAAACACACACACGAGTATGGCACAGTAGGACCAGAAACCAAATGTCCGTAGCCTGAGATCCTGCACACACATCATCGCACAAGGTCTTCAATAGCAAGTTAGGCACAAGATCGAATACTAACCAGCCAATCAGAAATAGTCTCCGTCGACGTCTGACTTCTCTGGGCCTCACCTACTAGGGTGCCTTAAATGAGAACTGGAGAAACTCTACTGAGCTCGCAGGGGAGGTAGGAATATGGGGTCCCAGAGAGCCTGCTGCAGCTGCTTTGAAATCCCTTGGCTCTCCGTGCTCTTACTGGGGGCTTTCTGGAGTACGGTGAAGCAGGGTGCTCTAGCGCTCATACAGGCAGAGGCGGATGCATTGCTCCACCTCCCCCATTGTCGTGTGTGTCTCCTCTCTGATCTCTTCTCTGTCTCGCACCTTCCTTTCTCTTTCCCTGCTCATCATGATTGTCCCTGGACTGTTCCAGAAGCCTCACAGCGGAGTAACCAACTTGAGCTTGCTGCCTTCCCATCCTGCTGAGTGACCAGTCTGCTCTGCTCTGGTGTCTCCCTGGCACATTGCCCGCCATGCTTCACTGGGTCTCGAGGCGTCCTGGTGCCTCCATTTTAGGTGCAGCTCTTTCCTGCCTCTGCCTGCAGCCATCTAACCCGGGCCTTCCCTGAACCACTGGGCTGCTCTGCAGCTCTCCTTGGGCAGCTTTGTGGTCACATTGCTTATGGTTCCTTCATGGACTGACGCATGCGGCGGAATCCTGCAGGCCACGTAATCAGCAACGCTTGCCTCATGTCCTCTCGGGTGGGGCTGTTCCATTTCTTTGAGACAGTGCATAGTCTGCTTTGCTTTTTATACCAACTGAGAGGTAGGTTGTCTTGGTTTGTGAAGAGGTTAAGTTTGAACTGGGAGCTCGTAGAGCTCCTAGAGACCTTGATTTGGACACACGTGTTGTTTGTGGCACCCCAGGTCCGTCTGCTGTAGCATGGTGTCTCCTTTCCATGTAGGACTCCCAGAGGACTACGGAAAGTCACTAGTTCTTTCTTAGGATAAAGTGGAGAAAGATGCAGAAATACCCATAGGGTGATTCATGTCATCATGAATGGGATGTTTCCATTCTGCAGACAGCTTCTGAGGGATCACCTTGAACGTGCTTCTTATTTAGCAAAAACAGCTTCATGTTGGAGAGTCAGGACCCGTCATTTTGGGTGCTGATCATGCATCTACTGTTGGCTACATTTTTAATGGCAGGCTTGGAGGTGGGGTTGACATAAAGTCCCATTCATGCAGACAAGCATATGTACTTATGTAATTGCCAGCACCAATGTAGAATGTTCTGTCACTTCAAGAAACTTCTTTTGTACCCTTCGGTGGCAGTCCGCTAGTCAATCCCTCCAAGCCTCTAGCAACCTCACCTATAGACCTTGTTTCCATGAATGGTTGAGATCCCAACATGTTGTTAACACGGATTGCTAGTTCAGTCCTTTCTATTGCTGAGTGGTACTGTACTATGTGGATGTATGTTGTACATCCATACCTATTCAGTGCGCTCTCTCTCTCTCTCTCTCTCTCTCTCTCTCTCAATTGATTCATTTTATTGTATGAGTATTTGCCTGCATGTATATATGTGCACACATGCATGCCTGGTACCTGTAGTGGCCAGAAGAGGGCATCAGATCCCCTGGAATTGACTAGAGTTACTGATGGTTGTGAGCTGTCTGTCAATGCCGGGAATTGAACCTGGGTCCTCTGGAAGGGTAGCAAGTGCTCTTAGTTTCTGAGCCATCTCTCCAAGCCAATGTTTCCTTTTCTTGAGCCAAGAAATTTCCCACAGAATTGATATTTCCTGGTGGCAAAGGAGCCTTTAGTATGCTGGATTTCTAGGGCCATTGGATTTCTTTTATTTCACTCATTTTTTTTCAGCACGTATTTGACCACCGCCGTGAAGTCAGCAGCTCAGAGATCAAGAGTCTTTAGACATAAGTGGATGCCTTGCTGTGGAGAGCTAAGTTTGCCATGGTTCTCAGCCTGGAAATTAAAACCTCAATAAACAAATAAATAAAAAATAAAGGCCACCTCGAAGCCAGGCTTGATTATCAGAGAGATTCTCAGAGTGCGAGACACTGACTGCTAGGTTGGGCTTCACCCGTCAGGCTGAGGAAATTCGAGTTCAGAACAGGGCCACAGCCCTGCACCCAGGAGCTTCCAGTGTGCAGCAAGGGTGACAGGGAGGTTGAGGCAGCTTACCTCACCAGGCCGCTGGCTCGCCGTCCTCCGCATCCCGAGGGATAATGCCCCGCAAGGCTGATTAAGCCATGGTTAATGAAGAGTAAGTGCGGTGATGATACACTTTTATTTATTTGCTCATTATCCACTTCCAATGCTGTAGTGTTCTTTTTCAAAAAGAATGTAATACCTGGTGAGAAGGGGAGGGGAGGGAAGGCGTAAGGCTCTGGGCTGGAGCCACCGCACCTCTTCCGGTCACCAGGACAAAGCCTCGGGCCAGCATTTGATCAACGTGTGCTCAGACTACCTCACCTGCATTTCCCATGAAGTAATGAGAAAACACTTTTCTAGGGGTTTTCTGCAGCTGTTAGGACCTAGTCCCCTAGAATGAAAGAGTTCTGTTCACACTATGCCATTTGCAAAATTATTGGGGACATTTTTCTGAGGTGGTATAGTAAGCAGCATCTTGGCCTCTTAGGCCAAGATTCTTTCATAGATCAAGTGTTTATGTTTAAAAAAACACTAAAGAACAGACATCTCAATACAGGCCTACAAGGCAAAGTTAGCCACCCGCCCCCCCACTTCCCGGAAGTGTCTGAGCCCAGCTACTGCCCATGCTGTGCAGAGAGTCATGCTCAGGGCCTGAGGAAGGGGCCTCAAGCTCCATTTCTGGTCAAGAAGTCAACATAAGCGTGTGACGTGCTTTTCTGAATGACTCTAACCCACGAGGGACAGAGACAGGCCTCAGAACCAAAGTTTAGGGACAGAGCTGACACTACAGCCTGTTTGGACTCCACCTTCATGGTTCTCACATCTGAAAAACGCTGGGGTCTGTCATGAGGCAGAATTGTGACAATGGCCGGCTTCTCCCGGAGTAAGAATCTGTGTGTACGGCAGGTCTGTGCTGCTATTGCGTCCCCCCTTCTCTCCTTCTCTCTCGAAGGCAGGGAACCTGGTATGCTGCTAACTTGCCCCCCCTTCTTTCTCCTCTCTCCCAGGCAGGGAACACGGCTCTGCACCTGGCCTGCCAGAACAGCCGCTCCCAGAGCACACGCGTCCTCCTGCTGGGCGGCTCCCGGGCTGACCTCAAAAATAACGTGGGTGAAAGCACCAGCTTCTCTGTTGTGTTGCCCTGGAAAGGAACCCCCAAAGCAGAGTCAGTGTTGATACCTAGAAACTATAGTGCCAGAGTGTTTGGGGCCTAATCTCCAAATTAATTTTTTGCTGATTTTCTAAGGGGTCATTTAGGGGAAAGTGCTGCTTGAGTTTACTTTCTCTCTTTTTTTTATTTTTGCCACATGTCTGTCAGACTCTGATAGCTGGTCTATCAGTGGTTCTCACCTGTGTGGGTCATGACCCCCGTAGCAAACCTCTCCCTCCAAATATATTTATACCACACTTTATAACAGTAGCAAAATTACAGTTATGAAATAGCAACGAAATAATTTGATGGCTGGGGTCACCACAACAAGAGGAACTGTATTAAAGGATCAAAGCATTGAGAAGGTTGAGGACCACTGATTTACGTGTTTTAAGAATGTCTGCCCACGGAGAGCGCTGTAGAACTACTGTCTAGATAGTACCGGGCAGGGCTGTCCTGGGACATTCTTCCAGGGTCAGCTGTTGATCACTTCAGTGTCCTTCCCACGAGCAGGCAGGGCAGTGGCTGTAGAAAAATGTGTCACTAAAAGGGCTTGAGAGCATCCTACTTCCTGTGTTTTCGGAGGGGAGCCTGTGGTGTAAGCTTCTCTCTGAAATACCAATATCTCCCTGCTTGGGCAGACTTACATAATATAGTTCTAGAATTCACTATGCTGAGTGGTTGCGATCATCTGGACAGACAGGAACCCCAGCAGGAGCCCATGAGCGTTGTGAGGGTCTGTCTCTGCGTCCTCACAGGCAGTGGAGTCTGGCTTTGGCCACTAAGAAGGATTCTGAGAGTCTTCTGATTCCTCAGCTCCCTACGCTGCATGGCTCCAGAGAGGATGTTAGCATCCTTCCTGCTGGGATAGGTCTCATTCCAAAGCAACATTGTTGGTCTTACCTCGATTTATTCCAGACACTGTTGTAGGGGAGGTCAGGGTCTGTGAAGCCACATTAGTTTTTCCAAAGTGCTCATGGGGAGCAGGTATCTAGTTTTATATACACAAAAGAAAAGCCAAGCAAAGGTTCCTGGGGTTGGAGCAGCTACGTTAAAGGAGCAGCTTGTAGCTCAGACTAACGCTTCCTACAGCATGGGCAGCTGTCTGACAGCTCTTAAGTGAAGACTGTTGTTAGGTTTCTGTGCTGAGACCTTTTTTGTTTCCATCCACAGGCAGGAGACACCTGTTTGCACGTGGCTGCGCGGTACAATCACTTGTCCATCGTTAAACTCCTTCTCAGTGCTTTCTGCTCTGTTCATGAGAAGAACCAGGTCAGTGCGCGTACCCTCTTCACAGTGACCTGTGAACGTTCTTGGGAGAGCTTGCCGCGACTTTTGCTTATGCTGTGATTTTATCAAGAGCACCTACAAAACGGAGCGTGCTATGGGAAAGAGCAAGGGATATAGGTGTCTCGTGAATTCTGCTGTTCCATTTCCCGCGCTGCTGCTTCTGGGTGCCTATAACAGTGGCTTCAACCTGCCTATGAGAGCCATCAGGGACATGAAGATGCCATCTCAGATCCCAAAGGGCCAAAATCTCTATGGTTTAAGTTCAGTGGAATACTTTTGTAAATCTCCCTCCTGAAGGTGTGCCAGGTTGAGAATCATTGACTCATCAAAAGCCTTCTCCCCAATAGCTTCCAGGTCAGAGGCTACCCACCTTTCCGCCCCCACCCACCAGTCTTAGCAGCATGTGACAACATGGAACTTAAAAAAAAAAAAACCTCCCACACCCAACCCACGCTGTACCTGAGTGAAATCAAGTCTAGGAGTGTGATTCAGGCATCGATACCTCTTCAGAAGGGGAGTCACTTCCCCAACACACAGGACTAGTGATGGGGGTGAAATCTACTCAAAGATGGCCGAATTTCACGCTGCCCGTGGATGAAGATGGAGGCTCTTTGTCTGCTGTGGCAGGGGAGGATAAGTCTCACTTCTGTGTTTGTCTGGCCCACCCACATCTGTCACTCCCTATGGAAACGACAGCCCGCCCTTGGGAGCTGGCTTCGTTTCAGGACCGATCATCCGGGAACACTTTGTATAAAGAGAATATGAAAACTTATAAGCTGGAAGGGAAAGTGGAGAAAGCAGTCAGCCTTAACCAAACCACCTGAGCCTGCGGATGCACTGTCCCGAGCTCCCTGGTCCAGGCAGCTGGCTGAAGGCCAGGCACAAGCCTTCTCTCAGCTTTCCCTCAGGCCCAACTCAGAAGCCAGGCACTAACTCTGACCTCCCTGGGCTGATACACAAGGTCCAGAGCTCTGGGTGAAACGTTCTTAGCCCCTCAGCTTGCCTCCTGGGGACTTGGAGGCCCTCCGATCTCAGCAACTCAACTGGTCCTCTTCACCCCTACATACGTGACCCTGGTCTGTAGCTTCTGGACTCCATGTTACGAATGAACTCGTTAACCCTTCAGCTTTGTCTCCTCAAGGATTTCATATGCGCTTCATGTTTGTCGGGCAAACTCTGCTTTGCTTTGCAGAGTGTCCTAGGTAGAGGTGCACAGCTAGCCTGAGACCAATAGGCGTATTTAGCAAGCTCTCTTCTGGTTGTTTGCAGGTTGGAGACACAGCCCTCCATGTGGCTGCTGCCCTAAATCACAAGAAGGTGGTTAGAATCCTGCTGGAAGCTGGCGCTGATACGACCATTGTGAACAATGTAAGTTGAACGGCAGCTGTGAGTTTCGCAGACTCGCAGCCTTGCGCCCGCCCTCCCCCTTGCCCACCCCCCCACCAGGATTCAGTGAGCTTCATCTGCTTGGGTCCTCATCTGGATTGGACCAGCTCTGAGCAGCCCCAGGAGTTAACTCTTAGACCCTGGGCTGGCGTGAGCACAGCCTATCAAGAAGAGAGTTCTGAAGGGTTCTCAACAAGCCGGCATGCGGGCCTCAAGATGGCCTCCTGGCCAGCTGTAAACCCATCTCAGGATTCTGCTGCTTTCTCTCAAGTGCTCTGCCCTCCTCTCTCTCTCTCCCACCCTCCCGCCCTTCTCTTCCCTTCCTTTCCTTTTCTCAGTATGCCTGATTGTTTCTACCCGTTCCATAGCTGATACCCTTCTTCTTCCAAGAGGTCTGGGACGCTGAAGCTGACTTTCTTTATCTCTGTGTCTAGCTCACCCCGCCCCACCCCACCCCCTTCCTCCATTATATCTCTTAACCTGCCTGGTGCCATAGTTACCTTGTCCCCGGTGACCAGGACACACTCTCCTTCCCTTTGGAATCCCACTGACATCTTTTCCTGACATTTAATCTTACAGACTACATTATGTCTGTAGCTCCATGCTGAGACCGCTCCTGTCGGAGACTTCGTGCCTAGAGGTGGATTTCCTGATCCTTTGTGTTGCCCGACAGAAATGCCCACCTCCCTCTTCCTCGTGTTTGCGCCCCTCTGTGTCCCACCATCTGAGGCTGAGGTTGTAATGAGCCTTGCTGATGCGCTCCGCTGAGGGACTGAGGCCCAGGAGGAGTGGCCTTCCGCCTGAGTGTGATGGAGAATGGAACTGCTCACTCCTGGGGTCCCTTTGTCACCTGCCTTCCCTGTGTCTTTCCTCAGGCAGGCCAGACCCCGCTGGAGACGGCCCGCCACCACAATAATCCTGAAGTTGCTCTATTGCTCACCAAGGCTCCCCAGGTAGGACTTACAGCATCTTTCTTACTGACCGTGTGGGGCTACACGGTTGCCATTATTCCTCTGGCCATGGTCTGCTGAAGCCAGGTGAAAATAAATAAGAATTGCTAACTAAGAAGGGAGGCAGCGCAGAGTATAGGCGTCTGTGTGGCGCCAAGCCCCGCTTTTTATCCAGGCTGCCATTCTCTCGCTGAGGTGTGAGCTTGCTATCATGAACTTCCGGGACCCTACCCTGTCCATTCTGCTTCATGCCAGAGCTAAGACAGGACGATGTTCTGTAGTGTTCGCCATTACTCATTCTGGTGGAGGCAATCAATTCCTTAGTGTTGGGAAAGCAGGCTGTTCCAGAGCAAGGCTGGGAGTGCCAATTTGTCCATCTTATCAAGGCTCAGGGACTTGGAAAGAATCTTCTGAGAATGATGCTGCCATTATCTGAGCCCAGTGTGTCACATGGCCCTCTGAGTACCATGCTTCTAGTACCATGGCCCAGTGTGTCACATGACTTTCAGAGTACCATGCCACTAAGTACCCGAGCCCGGCGTGTCACATGACCCTCGTTTCACTTAGTTTTAAAAACGTGCTCACATGGCTGGCAGCAGTTTCTACACTGCTGACAACTCCTCTTCTCTTCTGTAAGAGGGACCAGCCTTGTGCACAGGGAGCGGGTGCTGCTCAGTGGTGTCTGAGTGGGCATCGGGAGTGAGAAGCTGCTAGAAGCTTACTGCCTCACTGTAGGGAGCCTGTGAAGTCCTGAGTGAATGTGTGCTTCTGGTGCTTCTGACGTGAGAATGGCCATGCCAAGGACCCCGCTGCCTCAGACCTGTGGGAGCCGTAGGGTCTTCCCCGGGTGATATTGGGGATGGCAAAACCAATGAGCCCTCAAGGCTGAGATTGGAGGGCTCCAAAGCCCTTCTGGTCTATGAGTGAATGTTGAAAGTGTGTGCAAAACCTGTTCACCATGACTTTTCCCCACAGATGCTTACAATCCGAAGACTGCCCCCCATAGAGACTGCTCACACTCAGATTAGCTAAACCTTCCTCCTTGTTCAGTTGTATACTATAAACCCAGTGCCCTTGTATATAATGACCCCATTTCCCTGTTCAACTGTATAAAATAAACATGCTGAACTTGTAGGGTGCTGCAGCCACCCCATCAGAGGGAGCACAGCCAAGCTGATCTCAGCTTTGCTGTGTCTGTGTGTCTGCATGGTGTGGGAGGGCCTTCTGTCTATGTGTTGCTTTTATTGGTGAATGAATAAAGAAGCTGCTTTTGGAGATTATATATATATATTTTTGAGAGAGAGAGAGAGAGAAAGAGAGAAAGAGAGAGAAAGAGAGAGAGAGAGAGAGAGAGAGAGAGAGAGAATATAGCCAGGCTGGAAAAGATATATATAGAGAGAGCAGGCAGAGTCAGAGAGAAGCCAGAGACAGATGCACCAAAACTTTGCCAGTAGTCCATGACCTCGTGATGATGCACAGATCAATGGAGATGGGTTAGTTTAGGATATGAGAGCTAGCTAAAAATATGCTTAAGGGCTGGAGAGATGGCTCAGAGGTTAAGAGCACTGACTGCTCTTTCAGAGGTCCTGAGTTTGATTCCCAGCAACCATATGGTGGCTCACAACCATCTATAGTGAGATCTGGTGCCCTCTCCTGGTATGCAAGTAGAATACTGTACACATAATAAGCAAATAAATAAATAAATAACTTTTTTAAAAAAGTATGCTTAAGCTATTGGCCAAACAGTATTGCAAATAATATAGTTTCTGAGTGATTATTTCAAGGTCTGGGTAGCCGAGGATGAACAAGCAGCCTCTGCCTACATCCACATGTCTGTGTACCTGTGTGTTCTTCATTCCCTTGTCCCTAGTCAGGGTCCCAGGACCCCGCTCATGCAGGGGTGTGGTACCCCACCTCACTCCAACTTTGTGAAACATAGAAAAATGCTGGCCTGTCACAATCAGGAAGGAGAGAGTGTCATAGAAGTGTCCAGAGGCAGCAGTTCCGTCTGCCGCTTCAACATTCAGCAGTTTGATCCCCACGCAGCCCTGCTTATTCCCAGTCATACACACAGACCAGCAGGCCTTGTGGGTTACAGAATTCACCAGGCACAGAGTGCCGTGTGTTCAGTCCACCTGTGGGTTGTCTACCAGAGCTGGAGGATCTTCACCTTCACCAGTCCCCTGAACTGGTCTCCGTTGCATGCCTGTTTGAGAGATGGTTTGGGAGTGAGGGCACTGGCTGCTCTTGTCGAGGACCCAGGCCCAATTCCCAGCACCCACGTGGTAGCTTACAACCATCTGCAACTCCAGTTCCAAGGGTGCAGCGCCCTCTTCTGGCCTCTGCAGGCACTGCAGGCATGCGATGCTTGTTTGTAATAAAATACACGCTTTGCATATTGTAGTTTCACACACAACCTGCTTCGTCTGTCAAGAAAAATCTTTTTGTTGAAGCCCTTAGTTAAGTATGGCTTTTGGTGGCCGCAGCAGCACTAAAGAAGAGGCCATTTCCCAAGGCCTCTGGACCAGCGTTCACAGAGTCCTGTGCTCTGGACTGCTCTGCTGAGGTTCTGTTTGACCCCCGCTACACTGAGACAGGCTGTGGGCCGTACGGTTCTCTGCAGCTATTGGCACGGTCAGTGGAGGGACGTTTGCTTGCTGCTGCTGCCTGGGTCCAGGCGACCTGTGTCACTTGTCGTCTGTGACAGCTGTGTTCGCGATGTGACGTAGTTCAGGCTTGGGGTCAGCTGGGCCTTGCTGGAAGATTCCACACCAGGTGAGCAATCAGCACTGCCACTCTGTGAGACTCGCCGAGTCTGAACTGTCAGAGGCAATGGCTCTGAGACTATTATTATTATTATTATTATTTTGTTTTTCATACAGGGTTTCTCTGTGTAGCGTTGGAGCCTGTCCTGGAACTCACTCTGAAGACCAGGCTGGCCTCAAACTCACAGAGATCCCCCTGCCTCTGCCCTCTGGGTGCTGGAATTAAAGGAGTGTGCCCACCACCACCTGGCGACTTTTATATTCTTAAATACTGTGTGCCAGAGGCTGAAGGATCTTGGTGCCTCAGACCTGGGCTTGCTGGCTAAGCACACTCTGGCAGCTAAACGTCTTAGTGGCTAAGGACAGGCAGTGAGAGCAAGTTCAGCCATCTCCAGTTCCCGGCTGATCCCGGCAGCTCGCCATATGATGAGAAGGAGCCCCTAGTAGCCAAAATCATGTGCTAAAACTCCTTGTCTAGTTGAGGCTGGGTTCCCCAACACCTATTGTCCTGTGCCTTTGTTGGCTCCTTCTGCTTTATTGCATTGTTAGGAGTACCAGTCCTCCTCTGGGGAGCCACCGTTAGTCTGACAGCCTCCAGATATACCTCAGTGATGCCAGAATTAAACTGACAGGGTTTTTTCATACACCTTGGTTCAGGAAACTAGAGGGTGGAAACGACACTGCCTGGAGCAGGGCTGTCGTCACATGACATGCCATTGCTCTCCCAGTTGTATGGAAGTGACATTCTCTGTTAGGCCATACGCACCTATCTGGCCACACCAGCCCAGCACATAAATGCTTTTATTATCATCATAGAAGCCTCTTGTGATCAGACACAATATTCTACCCACTTCTGGGTCCCTTTTGTGCTCAACACAAGACTAAGGGGGCATAGGCAGTCCAGAGTTTTCCGTGACCACTAGTGTTTCCCACCTCGCCGTGGGTTCTGCTAGGTCTGCCTCATGTTGGTGCTGTGTCCCCTTTACCCCTACAACTGTGGTGTTCTCTATTTTAGATCTTGCGCTTTAGTCGTGGACGAAGCCTGAGGAAAAGGAGAGAGAGGCTCAAGGAAGAGAGGAGGGCCCAGTCTGTGCCCAGAGATGAGGTGGCACAGAGCAAGGTATGAGGGACCCTCCCACAGACCTCAGGTACCCACCTGCCCGGCCCCGCTGCTGCCCTCCTTGGCCTGTCCTTTCCACTGGGTTCAGGCTACTGCCCCTTCCTCCTGTCCCTGTCTGTCCGTAGTTCCAGATCCTTTATTGTTGTGTGAGTGAGAGCAGCCTTCATCTCCCCTGTGTGCCCTGTGTGCCTGTGGCCTTTATCCCATGGTGGGCACAGCCGTATGATGCCCTGGATTGTGCAGAGCTTCAGTTCTGCAGCGGTGGTGCCCATGCTGTGCCCTGGGGCCTTGTTAGTAATGCAGATTCCCAGGGCTCAGCTTGGACCTGTTGGAACAGGAGCTCTGGGTCGGGGCCGCCAGGTCTGTTTGAAGAAGCTTTCTAGGTGATTCTGAGACCCACTAGGCAGCTTCTTCGGTTTCTGAAGAGAGAATGGAGTAAGGCTACTTACTCTCCTGGCTTCTGTGTGTCAGAAAAGGGTGATGTGGGGCAAACCAGGATTGCATAAAAGATAGAATACGAGCTTGCTTGACTTGGAGGTTTACCCTTCAGTGGGTGCCATTGCGCAGTGAGCGATATATTTGATATCCCTTGTAAGTTCTTTTTTGGGGGAAAGAGGTCTCACTGTGTAGTCCTGGCTGATCTGGAGCTTGCTAGCTAGACTAAACTGGCCTTGAACTCCCAGAGATCCGCTCCACCTGCCTCTGCTGAGATTAAAGACCTGTGTGAGGTGCCTGGGTCTTTGAGAGTTCCTGGCAGGGACTATGTTACAGAGGCCTTTTTGGACACCTAAGATGTTATTACTAAGCTGGGCATGGAGCCACACACCTTTGATCTAAGCACCACAGTAAGCACCCAAGAGCTTCATTTCATCCAGATAAAAGCCCAGCCAGCCAGAAGCTGTTGCTGAGCCTCCCCACCAGGCAGAAACGCCTGTCACTGGCTGATGTCCCTGTGGGTCTGTGATTGGGTGGGATCTTGTTAAGTACAAGTTTACCCTGCTGGGATCAGAGGCCAAAGGCTCAAGTGGAACCATTTGGGGGCTTTTCTTTTGTAGGGAAGTGTCTCAGCAGGAGACACCCCCAGCAGTGAGCAAGCTGTCCCCCAAAAAGAGGAAGCTAAAAGAGATTGCCCATCTGCTTCCCAGGAGCCCAGAAAGGATGAGAGGAGGAGAAAGTCAAGGCCGGAGGTCAGGAGCAAGCAAGGGGGAGGGGGGCATGGGGGGGCGGCATTAGGGGTTGGCTTGGAGGAGGCTCTGAGATTAGTTACCTCCCCAGCTGGGACACCGTGCCTTTGGCTGACTGTTTGGGAATGAGTACAAAAATGAAATTCACTGGCTTGAGACACCAGAGAGGGTGCGCATATGTTTCTGGGTGGGTGTGCTGCTCTGAGCTCAGAAGCAAGGTGGTGTTCTTTATATTTTATTTCTAAGACAAGGCTATACTATGTCACACTGCATGGGAGATGGGAAATGCTTGCCGGGGATCAATCCAGTGGGTGTTGCAGGGACTTAGGGGTGGTGGCTCTTTCTTCCCACAGGTGTCAGCACTATCTGACCCCACCCCAGCAGCAGACCAACAGCCTGGACACCAAAGGAACCCGCACAGTCACCACCACCCCAAAAAGAAGAACAGACATCGATGCTGGTCCCCACCTCCGCCCCATGGGTTCAGGGCGTACCAGCTCTACACACTGTACCGGGGCGAGGATGGAAAAGTCATGCAGGTATCACCCAGTCCTGATGGGCTAGCGGCCTGCAAATGCCAAGGGCTGGAGAAGCCCGTGCCTGGAGGTCAATGGCCACCCAGGGCTTGGCTTAGTCAGACTTGAGTCACAAGGGCCCCCCACATCCGAAAAGTGCAGCTTAACCATGTCATGTAGGCCCCAGAACAAGCCCTTGCCCTTAGCATCTGTTCCATCCTGAGGGGACTTCTGTCTTGAGGTCCCAGAGTAGGTGTTCTGTCCTGAACCCCAGAGGTTCAAGCCTCTTTAAGTTAGTTGCCGTGTCTCACCGTCCGAATCTCAGTGCCTTTGGACCCAAAGCTCAACCAATGGGACATTACGACATTCCAAAGCTAGCTCGGGGATAATTCTGTGCTCTTAGTCCTCTGGGTCTTCTGCCTCCCGCTGGTATCCTACATGGCACGGTGGTTGCCCAAGATGGTTTCGGAATAAAGAAGGACTAATTTGGGCTGGAGAGGTGGCTCAGCGGTTAAGAGCATTGCCTGCCCTTCCAAAGGTCCTGAGTTCAATTCCCAGCAACCACATGGTGGCTCACAACCATCTGTAATGAGGTTTGGTGCCCTCTTCTGGCCTGCGGACATACACACAGACAGAATATTGTATACATAATAAATAAATAAGTATTAAAAATAAAATAAATCTTTCAAATGTAATTTTTTTTTAAAAAAAAAAAAGAAGGGCTAATTTGCTAATATCTCTGTGTGTGTGTGTATGTGTGTGTGTGTGTTTGGGTGCACACTCCTGTGTGTGCACTTACAGAGGCCAGAGGAGGGCGCTGGGTACCCTGCTCTATTGCTTTCGTCTTATTCCTTCGAGACAGCGTCTTCCACTGAACCTGGAGGCCAGCAAGCCCCAGTGATCCTCCTGTCTCTGCCCCACAGCTCTGGAATTACAGATGTACATGCGTGGATTTTTCCGTGGGTGGGAGGATCTGAACTTGGGTCCTCAGGCTTGTGCAGCGAATGCTCTCGCCTCCTGAGCCGTCTGCCCAGCCCCTGATTCCCTTTTCACACACACCCCCAGGCTCCGATAAAGGGTTGTCGCTGTGAACCTCTCATCAACAAGCTGGAGAACCAGCTGGAGGCGACTGTGGAGGAGCTCAAGGCCGAGCTGGGATCAGTGCAGGATAAAGTGAACGCAAAGCTGGGACAGATGGAGACCAAGACGCAGCACCAAGTAAGCCAGAGGCTCCTCAGGTGTGAAGGCGAAGGCGACTTAAAGACAGATGTCAGGGCTTGTGGTGCAGCTCAGTGCTAGAGCCTGGCCGAGCATGTGCCAACCATGGGCATATAACGGAAGTCAGGATTATAAACGTTATATGTTCCTGCCAGGGCATAGTGGCACATACCTGTAGTGCCAGCATGTAGGGGACTGAGTCAGGAGGATCGCAGATTCAAGGCAGTCTGGACAATAGTGAGATTTGGTCTCTAGAAAGGGGGTAGGGGAGAAGAAAGAAGCTGGGTGATGGTGGTGGCACACGCCTTTAATCCCAGCGTTTGGGAGGCAGAGGCAGGAGATCTCTGAGTTTGAGGCCAGCCTGGTCTACAAGAGCTAGTTCCAGGACAGCCAGGGCCGTTATACAGAGAAACCCTGTCTCAGAAAGAAAATAAAAACAAAGCAAAAAAAAAAAAAAGGTGAAAAAGGGAAAGGGAAGGAAGGAAGAAAGGAAGACAATACATTTTCATTACAGTGTTTCTTTAAAAAGAAAAAAGGAAAGAAACATTGGTACTACCCACAGGCCTGTAGTGATAAAAAATATTAATATTTAAGTCTATTTTCTTCATCTATGTTCTGCTGAGACTGGGTTCATGGTTTCAGGCTTGCCCCAGACGCCCTTTGTAGCGGAGGAGGCCTCAGATTTGTGGCCTTCCATTCCCATTGCCCGAATGCTGGGGTTGCAGGTCTGTGTTCCACATCTGGTCTCGTGTGCTGGGGACTGAACCCAGGCCTTCGAGAGTGTTAAGCGAGCACTTACCAAGTGAGGTACACCACCAGCTCCTGCGCTCAGCTTTCTATCAGGAAAGCTGTCGACCATAAAGAAAAGCCAAGAGAAGACAATGATGAAATAGCACTGCTTTTATACTTGTAGTGAGAGTCGACCAATTTTCTGTTTCGGTTTTAAGATAAAATCCCACCATGTGGCCCAGGTGGGTCTTGAACTCTGACCCCTCTCCAAGTGCTGGAAACGTGGGCCTCCCATCCAGCCTAGGTTCTTGGTCTGCCGCCGTGGGTCCCTTCCACTGCTTCGCCAGTCCCTCCTCTCTCCCCGGAGGAGACTGAGGTGCCACATCCTCTTGCTAGTTCAGTGTGCCCACTAGGGATAAGCCCGAATCCATCACATCTAAGAGAAGCAGCAATGACTGCGTGATATCTGGGCCAGTTTTCACAGTTGTTCATAAGTATTTGATTTAGTTGTTTTTCACGGGTTATTTATTTATTTAATCTTTTGAGATAAGTCTTAAGTAGCCCAGCCATCCCCAAACTTACTTCATTGCTGGGATGATTGCCGCATGCTGCCACACCCTGCTGCTTGGCTTTAGTCCTGATACAGGATCTTTAGTGTTCCTGACTGATGGATGCTGCGGTCTTTCTGAGTGGCTCCCAGTCCCTTCCGGCTTTTTGTCTTTGGAGCACCCGAGCCGGTTGTCTCAGAGAGCCTGCTGCCTTCTGGACTGGCTCCCTAGTTTTTCATGGGTGTTTAGGTTGTGTCTTCATCCTTGCATTTCTGCCCACAGGAAGATCTGAGGCCATGAATGGTTCACGGTTCTGAGAGTATGGTCCCTAGGCGGCAGCAGCGGAGGCTGAGGTGAACTCTTGGGCCTGTTCCTGATTTATTGAGTTGAATTTAATCACCATGACTGAAATTCTGAGTGGGACCCACAAGCCTGTGATTAGCAAGACCTCTAAGTGCTGCTTCTAAGTCTGTGAACAGCAGTTCAACAGTTACTTAGGTTTCAATAAAAACGTCTGCAGGCCTAAGTCATGGTCAGTGGCGTGAACTCTAGACTGTGTTCTACATGGAGACTCTTAACGTCAGGGTACTCCAGGGCCGCTGATGCTAAGTTGGGTACTTGTTTTCTTCCACCGTGAAAGTATACTTTTCTCATCAGGACTAGGAAATGTGCAGTGAGTAAGATTTTTCATTGAGATACATTTTAAGGAAGTATATGGAATGAAAGCCCACGCCAGTGAAGGAATGTGATTGCTAGCACCATTTCCTAGCGCTGGCCTCCTCATCTTCGCGGGGTTTTTCAGCGCTCAGTACTGCTGTGATCTTTAGAGCCACTCGGTCCCATCCTGGCAGCCTTCTTTTCCATCCTGCAGTGTGCTTCACAGTGCAGCGCCGTGCCTGTGTGGGAGAATATTTGCATACCCTTTTACTTAATTTTATATGTCACGAGTACTGTCCTGTGTTTTTATCTGCATAATATTCGCCTATTAAAGAACATAATTTACTTAACCACTTATTATTAGACTTTTCTCCTACTCTTAGGAGTAAGATTAATGCAAACATTTATATATGTAATTTTTAGCTCCTTCTCAGACTTTAAAATGTTTTTACATTTAATTCAGTGTGTGTGTGTGTGTGTGTGTGTTTGTGTGCATTGGTGGAGGTCAGAGGACAACTCGTGGGAGCTTATTCTCTCCTCCGTGTGAGTCCCAGGGATTGAATTCCGGTTCTCAGTCTTGGTGGCGATGTCTTTACCTCTGGCTCATCTTGCTGGCCCGTCCTCAGCCTTGGGCTTAGTGTTAGGCTATGTTAATGCTCGGGATTCTTGATGAATGCTGGCAGCTTACCTCGGAGGAAGGTTGTGCCAGTTTACATCCCTCCAGTATCTGGGGTTCTGTCTCAGATTTTTGCTATCATTTAATACTTTATTTTTTCAAGTTTGCATTATATGGACATTTTACTGTAAGTTTTATTTCCTTGTTCATAGTGAAACTGAACTCTCTCTCTTTCTCTCTCTCGATGCTGAATTAACACACATCCTCACTCTGTCTCTTCCTTTTTCAGACAATATCTCACTGTGTAACCCCGGTTGGCCTAGGACTTGCTATCTAGACCAGGATGGCCTGGACCCCTGCCTCTGCCTCCAGCATGCTGGGATAGCAGGTGCACCATGACGCCCACTGAGGCTGAACATTTTTCTGATCTACTTGCCTCTTGCATTTTGTGAAAAGAATATTTGAAAAATCTTCAGGTCAGGATGTATTAGTCAGTCTGTACCCCCAAAGGACTGGGCCAGATGAAAGCTAGATCCTTAGCTCCCCCCTACCCCCCACAGCTTAGTGTGGGGAGGATGGCAGATTGGCGAGAAGGCTCAGTTCTCTTTCTAAGTGGCAAGGACAAGACGTGAGCCCGGCAGCATAAGTCAGGTGCCTGGGCCAATGCTATCACTTGCACACCTGGCTTCTTGGTGTGGACGTCTTTGTAGCAGAAGAGGAGGAGAAGGCATCCTGGGAAATAGGGAGAGTAACCAGTTTCCAGAAAAAACAAGGGAACCTGAGAGACACAAAGAGGAGGCTCACCCACCTCTTAGGAAACTGGTGCAGCCTCACTGAGAAAGTCCGCGTGCATCACCAACAAGACAAGGCTCACCAGCGAACCCTTGTGGCTGGCTCCTTCCAACACTGGCTTTTTCTCTGGGGCCATGTCAGATCAGTGAGCTTGGTCTAGCCTAGGAGTCAGGGCCCTACAGGAAATGTTACAAGGCCCCAGAAAGGGCTTTGACTAAGTGATGGTGGTTACTTGTCCTCTTAAACCCCGACTGCTTTTAATGAAGCCCTGGGAAACACGTTCGCCGCGGTTTTTAGATAGTTGTTCCTCATGATAGCTGTGACTCTTACATTTTAGGGCCAATCAGAATCCCTGTCTGCATTTGCTGATGTTGTATATTTTTGTGAACTCATGGTTTATTAAGCGCTTAGGGCTTAGGATGAGAAAAAGGGACAACAGTGACCTTATTAGAAATCCGTGCAGGAATTCTGAGAAGCTGGGGTTTCGTGCTGTGAACCAAGGACGGAAGGAGGAGCTGAAGTTGGCTGCCTCTTTTGTGGACGCTCCTGAGTGGAAGCCAGAGTCTATTCTTAGGCATTTCAGTGTGCTCTGTCTCCCTGAACCCTAGATGTGTGTTTTGGACAAACTGATGGTGGAGCGGCTGTCGGCGGAGAGAGCAGAATGCCTGAATCGCCTGCAGCAGCACGCAGCTGCTGAGAAGCAGGAGGGGGAGAAACGGCAGGTAAGCATCAGCCAGCCCTTCGCCGCTGAGTCATTGCCTGTCTGCCCAACTGGTCCAGGTCCAGCAGTGCAAACCCAGAGGCTGAGAGTGAGGGGACCATTTGCATTCCATAGCCTGTTGTTTGGTAGCCCCAGTAACGTCAGTAGCAAAGAACATGCAGTCCTGTTTGAGCCTGTTGCTGAGTCTGCTGGCAGGAAGTGGAATCAGTATGCTGGAAAGGATGCTGTTCTGTGATTTGGCTGTTCATCTTCCTCTTCGGGAGTCTACTGCCTTTCCGGGTCAGCAGCAGGGCTGAGTACCTGGGAGTTTCTGAAAGCAACCAAAAACACCTGGCTTGGAAGATTTGCAGGGCATTTAGGCATCTGAGTTCTAGGTAACTCACGACCTTGGTTTGGTGGTAGGCCTAGCCGTGGGAGGATGAACAATCCCTAACCTTTCGATGTGTGTAACCTCAAGTGTCGCAAAGTAAAAGTTCCTTCTTGGGGAGCAGAGAGCTGGCTTAGCAAGTGTGCTCTGCTCTCCAGAGGCCCCGTACCCGTGCTGGGTTGCTCACAACTGCCTGTGATCCCAGCTCCAGATCTCCTCACACACTTCTCCCCTCCAGTGGTACATGCACACGCGGGGCGTACATTCACGCAAACACACACGCATTTTTTTTTAATCAAGGGGTGGGGGCAGAGAAGAGAGAAGGTGTGCACCCAAGGCACATATGTGGTGCTCAGGACAACTTGAGGAAGCCAGTTCTCTCCTTCTGTCGCGTGCGGTTCTGGGGATTGAACTGAGGTCTTTAGACTTGGCCGCCAGCGTTTTCAACAAACTTTTTAAAGATTATTTTATTTATTTATATGTGTGGGTGTTTTGTCTACATGTGTGTCTGTGCACCTTGTGAGTGCCTGGTGCCCTTGGATCCCCTGGGGCTGGAGTTAGACTATAAAGTGGTTGTGAACTGACGTGTGGGTGCTGGGAGTAAAACTTGGGTCCACTAGGAGAGCAGTCTGCCCTTAGCCGCTGAGCCATATCTTCAGCACCCCAAAAGTTCGTTCTTGATGATTTAATTAATAAGCCTTATCAAATTCAATCTTGTACGTATTATTTGTGGTTTCAGATGTCCTTGGTGGACGAATTAAAAGCCTGGTGCATGTTGAAGATCCAGAATCTGGAGCTGAGGCTTTCTGGAGAGTCTCGAACCTGTAGAGCTAAATCCACACCATCTCCTTGTGACTCCTCTCCAGGTGACCTGCTCACCACAGAGACCCACTCCCTGTCCTCCCTGATCTGAACATTGTCCATAGAGCAGAGCTGCAGCAAACAGTGAGGTCGGATGTTAGGAAGCGTGGCGTATCCAGACCCATGAGAGCGAGGAATAAAATGAGGGACACTGACAGGTGACCTGGTGTGTCTAAAGACCATGACCAAAAGCAGCCTGCTGAAGAGTTTATTTGGCTTAAACATCCCAGGTCACACTCCAGGGTAGGATCTCCAGGCAGGAACCTGGAGACAGGCACTGAGACAGAGCGTGAAGGAGATACTGCTCACAGACTTGCTCTTCCTAGCTTACTGGGCTTGCTTTCTCACACACCCCAGGACCACCTACCCAGGGGTAACAGTTCCCGCAGTGGGCCGGGCTCTCACACATCAACCATTAGTGAAGAAAATGTGCCCACAGCCTTGCCTATAGGCGATCTGATGGAGGCATTCTTTCAGTTGAAGTCCCTCTTCCCACATGACCCTAGCTTATGTATAACTGACAAAAAACAACCAGCACAATGTGGGTCAGTAAATCCTGAAGATGGGGGGTGACAAAGGACCAGCTTTCTTTTGGGCAGGCCTTTCCCCTCCTTGCTCCTACTCAAGCAGCCTTTTGCCTTTACCTAACCCTGCAAAGCTTTTCAAGCAGCAACGGTGTCCCGAGCTTGCCGTGGGTGATAGGACACGCTCTCAATGAAAACCCTTAACCTGCAATGAGTACACACGATCATTTTTAAAACTAGCACATGTTCGTTGTACAGAATGATGGATGGTTCCATTATATTTCCACACACTTGCATCATCCCAAATGCTCCCTGGTACCTCCACATCTTGATAATTCATTTCCTCTTCCCAAACAGCCCCTCTTCTATGTTATTGCTTTTAAAAAGTCTAGATTCTAGTTGGATATGGTGGCGCATGCCTTTAATCCCAGCACTCAGGAGGCATAGGCAAGTGGATATCTGTGAGTTCAAGACCAGGTTGGTCTACATTTCAAGTTCCAAGACAGTCAGAACTACACACACACACACACACACACACACACACACACACACACACACTTCAAAAAAAAATATAAAAAAATTCTAGATTCTGAATATGTGGGAAAAATATGTACCATCTGTTCTTTTTCGTCTGAGTTATTTCACTTACATTAATCTCAGGCTGTACCCATTTTCCTATAAATTATATAATTTTTCCTTTATGGCTGAATCAAGCTTCATTGTGTGTATAAACCATATTTTACTTATTTATATGATAATTCTAAAGACAGTGAAGCTGAGTAATTAGGTCCTACTGGGGAACTTTGAGAGGTCCAGTGCTTACTACAGCCCTATCAGTCTATGGCTTTATCTCTGTACTAACATGCTGAGACAGCTCTTGAGCCAACTCTTCATGCTAGGAATAGCTATGGAACTGCTGTTAGGAATGAACATGGGTTGAGTGGATCGAGAGTGCTGCACTCCTTCCTCTCAACTCTGCTGTACCCCGAAAATAATTCCCCCTCAAAAAGAGTTGCTGGTGGGGTGTGTGATGGCACCTGCCTTTAACCTCAGCATTTAAGAAGTAGTGGCAGGTGGATCCCTGTGAGTTCAAGACTGTATATATATATACATATATATGTATGTATGTATACATATGTATACATACATATGTGTGTATGTGTATGTATGTATGTATGTATAGTGAGACCTGGTCTCAAACAAGCAAAGAAAAGGCCCAAAAAACAAATTGGTGTATAGTTTTATGTCCCAGAAACGTAGAGTATGGGCATATTCCCCCTCGTAGATCAGCACTCTTTCTGTGTTGAGACACTTTGTAAATTTTGTCATCCTAGGCATTAGAAACAAGACCCAGAGATTTCTAGAGCAGACAAAACAGGATAAAGGCAAGACCAGAAATCTAACCTATATGCTATTCCTGTGGCTAACACAGAATCCAAGAGAGCCCTGATGAACTAAGATGAGAATCCTGGAGAAAACGTGAGAGGGAAGGAGAGAGGGAGGGAGATGAAAGAAGCTCAGAGATGGGGTAGATGGTGCCTAGGAAGGCTGAGGCTCTGAGTACCCCAGGACTCTCAAGTGAGTGACACCCCAAATCTATGGCTAAATAAGGACATACTCTGACATTCGTTTCTTCTTTGTAGATCAACCAGTGGTAGCTGCAGGGCCATCGGCTGCTTCCAACAGCTCCTCTCAGGTTGTGAGGCCCAAGGAGAAGGCACTCGGTGCCACGGCTGCCCAGAGACAGCAGCAGGAGCTGCCTCCCTCTGACTGCACAGGCTCCCGGTTAACAAAGGTCAAGGCCCCGGCAGCCCCCTGCCCCCTGAATGGGGCTCCCAAGTGTGATCAGCAGACTGGGACCTGTGTCAACAGAGGTACTCAAACCAAGAAGTCTGGCAGAAGTGGGCAGACCAAGCATCGAGGCCAGCAGCCTGCGGCCAGCAGCCCCTGTGGGCAGCAGTCCTCAGCAGCGGGCAGTGATGTCCGAGATGCCTCGCAAGCCCTGGAGCTAACCCAGTATTTTTTTGAGGCCGTTTCTACCCAGATGGAAAAATGGTATGAACGGAAAATCGAAGAAGCACGAAGCCAAGCCAGTCAGAAAGCCCAACAAGACGAGGCCACCCTGAAGGAGCACATCAGAAGTCTGGAAGAGGAACTCGCCAAGCTGCGGACGAAAGTGCAGAAGTAAAACCCAGACCCTGAGGTGAAGCAACGGGACTTCTGGCTTGGGAACAGGAAAGTGACTGTGTCCCAGGAGCTAGGGATCATGCACAGGTGGAATTGCCCTAGAAGTCACCCGTCTGCTGTGGACACGTACTTCTGTGCTCTGAAGTTACAAAAGCTTCGCTAGTTACACCAAGCCTGGGAAGCTTGAGGAGGTGCAGGTCTCACTCCTAATTCTAAACCTTAGGCCAGGTTCAGAAAAGCAAACCATCCCGAGAAGAGGAGGTGTGTGCCTAAGTCTGTGATTCAGTGACATGAGATGTGTTAGGAGCAAAGATTACTCTCTGGAAACGCAACAAGTAGTCATTCGCACCCACGTCAACACCTGCTGTGCCTAGCAGAGCCAGACTCAGATGCAGCTGTGCCTAGCCGGTCCCAGC